ATCAGCAGATTTATTGAGGCAGCAGCGGCAGTGGGGAGCAGGGGTGTGGGGAGGGGGCCGGGCCTCCCCAGGCCTTTCCCAGGCACACAGTGTGCGCAGTCAGAGGGGGACGCGCAGGGACTGTGCTGTGGGCGCCGACGGTCAGCTGAGATCAGTCTGTCCGAAGCCAGCAGCCCTTCTCCTCCACCTCCTTGGTCACCACCAGCAGCACCTCACACAGGCCCTGGGCCAGCGCAGTCGCCAGGAAGGCCCTGGGTGGGAGAAATGGGGAGACTGAGGCTCAGCCAGCCTGGGCATTCCCTCTGGGGAGTGGGGTTTCAGGCCCCTGGTCTTGGAATCACCTCTGTGGGGCTCACCTGACTCCGTCCTCGTCCCCCAGGGCCTCGGGCGCCCGCAGCTTGGAGTCCAGGTTGTAGTAGATGCCGTCCACCTGGCGCAGGGCCACCCAGTGCCGCCGGCGTAGCGGCAGTGACAGCAGCCCCAGAGACACGGGCGAGGGCAGGTTCAGGATTAGTCCCAGCACCTGGGGCAGGGCCAGCTGGGACAGGGGCCTGTGCGGGCAGGGAGGGGACACCGCCATCAGGGCCTGCTCTGCCCGCCGGTGAAATGTGGCTGACCATGTGGGGCCCAGGCTGGCGGCGGTGGGGGCCTCCTGAACCCACCCAGAGGTATTCCTTAATCAGCCACCCTGGTTCCCAACACTCTCCGTTCACCCGCCCACTCAAACCTCCCACCCATGCAGCCGCCCAACCAGACCTCCCACCCATGCAGCCGCCCAACCAGACCTCCCACCCATCTACCCACCATTCACCCAACTCACATCGGCCCTTCACCAACCACCATCACCCTGTCTGTCCAGCCACCCACCCACCAACTTACTCCTCACACAGCCACCCAGGATCCAGGCATGATCCGCCCACCCCACCGGGCCTCCCAGCCACCAGCCAACTTCCCAACAACAATTCACACACTCACCTCCATCTATGCATTCACCTCCCCGCCACCATCACCATCCAACTAGCCATCTACTGTCCACCACCCACCACCCAGCCACCACCCAGCCAGCCATTCACCCAACAGTGGACTCACCATGCCCCCAGTCCTCACCCACTCTTGGCCCACCTGCCATTGGTCTACCCCTCATCCACCAGCCACACACCTGGCCACTGGCCAGCCAGCCATCAAAACCTCCCATTCATCCACCCAACTCCCCAGCCTCCTGTCTGTTGTCCACTGACCATGAACACCCAATCCCCTCACTCCCCCTCACCCAACACATCCAACCACCTACTCAGCATTCACCCGGTAACCATCATCCACCCAGCGTCTCAGCCTGCCGACCGCCTGATCTCCCCCACTAACCCATCAGCACCAGCCTTCCTGCATTCATGCCAGCTCCCCCGGCCACATTCCCCTCCTTGACCCCCCAACAGGCTCACACGACAGGGTGCCCTCTGTGCCCGGCCCAGGATGTGCTGTGCGGCTCTGGGGCCTACCTCCTCCTGTCCCACCACACGGCGGCCAGGCCCAGCCCCTGCAGAGCGGCCATGATCACGTTGACGTCATAGTTGCCGGTGCCCAGGAGGCTGCGATGAGGGTTCAGCCGGGAGTCTGGGGCCAACCTGGTAGTGGGGGTGGCCAGAGTTGAGCTGGGGACCCGTGGAAAGGCCGCCCCACAAAATGGGGGTGCCAGGGGCCACAAGTTGCCTCAGCCTTTGACTCTCCCCGCTTCAGACCCCACAACTCATCCACCCTCAAGTCCTGTCTCTCCTGCCCCAACTCTGCCCTGTCCCCAAGGCCCCAGTTGGGCTCTGTCTTCTCCCCCAGCCTCCAGCCTCCCTCCAGTCCATTCCCACGTGGCCCTGGCCCTCCCCTGCTCACAGCTCTCCCATAGCTCCCCAGCGCCCTGGACAAAGTCCCTGTCCCTCCGCCAGTCCCTTCCTCTGTCCTTGAAGACCCGCCTCAGATGTCAGATCCTCTGAGAGGAGGCTCCTGACCTTCAGGCTGGGTCGGGGCCCTGTCTGGGCTCCCCCAGTGAACTGAGCTACCTCAACGATGACAGCTGCCCGCATCACCCTCATTTAACACTGCTTGCTTCTCCCATGCGGTTGCCCTCACCCCTGCCCTGCTCACAGCCCACTCTGCTTCCTCATTTCCCCCAGGACAGAGTCCCACAAGGCCCTGCGTGGTCTGGCCCTGGTGGCTTCACCTCAGAGCCTCAGCACCCTCCTTCCTGGCCCCCTGGCCCCAGCCACATCCCCGGTGCCCACCACCCCCCGCCCCACCCCTGCCAACCTTTCCTCCAGCTCTTCCCCTGCCCAGGAAGGCTCTTCCGCCTGCCACCACTTGTCTCTGGGCCCTGCCTCTGAACAGCTGCACCTCTGCTCCCTATCTGGGCCCTGGGCAGGCAGGGCATGGGAGGAAAAGGCTTGTGTGTGTGTGTGTTTCCCTCGCCACCCTCAGGCTGGCACTTGAGGCTGAGTCATCTCAGGGTCTCCAACATGGCTTTGGTATGAAAGAGCTGGTGGGTCCTTGTTCTGAACGATCGAGGGATGAATAAATACCATAATGATCAGTCTGAGGGGCTGGGACTCTTAGGATGTCCAGGAGCCAGAGGCGGCTTTCAGCAAGAGACAGAAGAGGCAGCCCACCTCCAGGTGTAGAAAGACTCTCTAGGATCAGTGGGCACTGAAGGCAAGGACAGACTGGAGGCCACGGGCAGGTTGGGCAGGAGAGGATCAGGCCTGAGCTGGGGCCAGGGACGTGGGGACAGAGAGGAGGGAGTAAGAGATGATAAAGGATGGATTTTTGTTTGTTTGTTTTTTTGAGACAGAGTCTTGCTCTGTTGCCTGGCTCACTGAAACCTCCATCTCCCAGGTTCAAGCAGTTCTCCCACCTCAGCCTCCAGAGTAGCTGGGACTACAGACGTGTGCCACCACGCCCAGCTAATTTTTTTTTTTATTTTTTAGTAGAGACGGGGTTTTGCCCTGTTGGCCAGGCTGGTCTGGAACTCCTGACTTCAAGTGATCCACCTGCCTCGGCCTCCCAAAGTGTTGGGATTACAGACGTGAGCCACTGCGCCCGGCCAAGGAGCGAGGTTGGACATCGTGAATAGTGAAGAGGAACATTCCATGCTGGCAGAGAAGGAAGCCACACCAGGCAGAAAGAAGTACCTGGAAGCCCAGAGGCTGCACAGGAGGGCTCACGGGAGTGGAGAGTCTGGTTTGAGGGGGGCTGTGAGGGCTGAAGCTGCAGAGGCAGGCTCGGCCTCCGCTATCAGGAGGGCCCTGAGTAGGGTGGGGGTGTGTTTAGGATGGACTGGAGAGCTGTGACAGGGCCCAGATAAGAGATGCCTGAAACTGAGTGAGCCTGTAATCCCAGCTACTGGGGAGGCTGAGGTGTGAGGATCACAAGCTCAGGAGTTCAAGACCAGCCCGAGCAGCATAGCCAGACGTTGTCTCTAAAGAAAGAAAGGACCACCGGATTGGGGCCTGGCTGGGGCTGAGGCCACAAGGACAGGCAGGCACAGGAGGCAACATCTCCCCAGAGTCCCAGCGTCTGGCTTAGGCAAGTGAGCTGGGGACAGAAGAAAGCCCCCAGGCTCAGCGCCTGCTTGGTGGCGAGACCCAGGTGGGTCGCTCTGCCGGAGCCCTGCTGCTCCAGGGGCCGGGGTGGGTGACGGTCACCTCTTGCAGATCTCATCGGCAGCCTCCTGGCTAAAGAGCTGCTGCTGCAGAACGTTGTTGAGGGCGTGGACGGCACATAGCTCCAGGCGCTGCCGTTCGTGGTACACAGAGGGTGGGCTCGGCTGTGCTCCCGGGGCCTGGGACATGCCGTCCTCGGCTCCTGCTGGGGGTTGGGAGGGGAAGAAGGTCCTCAGGGGCCCGGGATCTAGAGGTCCAACCTCCCAGCAGGCCTTTGGGGCATCGCCATTGATTGAGCTGGGGCTCCGGGCAGCCCGGGAGGGCACTGGGCCCCTGACCCCGCTCCCTGGGTCTCCTGACAGTACACGTCCCTCCATCCCCTCTTCCTATTCCTACGAAAAAGGCTGTCTCCTCTGCTCCCCTAGCAACAGAGAACCACCCCCACCAGGTCTCTAAGTAAAAGGGTGCCTATCATGGTCACCTAGCAACAGAGGAACCCGCCTCCCCTGTCCCTAGGTAACCGGGCGCTCTGTGGTTACCTAGCAACAGAGCCCCTTCCCCACGGCACTAGGTAACAAAGTCTGTCCTCCGAGCACCTAGCAATAAGAGAGTCTTCCTCCCCTGTCTCTAGGTGATAGGGTCCCCTCCGGTCTCCTAGCAACAGAAGACTACCCTTCCCCGGTCATGAAGCAGCGAGGCTCTCTGCTCTTGTCACCTGGCAACGGGGCCCCCTCCCCAGTCACTAAGCAACAGGAGTTCCTTTTCCTATACCCGGCAACCAGGCCCCTTCCCCGGACACCAAGGAATGGAGCCCTTCACCGACCCGCACCCCAACCACGGCGCTCGCCCTTTGCCTGGCAACGCCCCTCACCCCGCCTGCCTCTCCGCTCCACCGAGCCAAGGGCTTCCGCATCCCCTTCCTGGGTTGCGGCTCTGTGCTCCGAGTGCGGGGCGGGCAGCACCGCGCTGACTGGGCAGGCGGGACGGACTACAGCTCCCGGTGATCCCTGCGCGCCGGACTACGACTCCCGTGGGGCCCCGCGGGACCCCTCCTCCCCACCTAACGCCCGGGCCGCGCGGCCTTGAAGTCCGCCGTCGGGCCTAGAAAATGCTACACTACAACTTCCGTCGGGCTCCGCAGCAAGTCCCGGAAGTGTGCCTCAGATGCCCTTCCTTCGCGTACGGCCGCGCCCACTACCGCTCAGAGCTTCTAGGAAATATAGTGCGTACGCTCTCGCGATAGCTTCCCGGCGCCGCGCTCTCGTGGGAGGTCGCCCCCTGCGATGGCGTCATGCGCGGTGCGCAGACGCAGCGTGACGTCACACAAGGGAAACAGGGACCAGGGACGCCAGGCGGTGCAGGGGGAGACAGCGGTGATCTTTACTGAGTCAGAAGGGAGATCCTGGGGAAGTGGGGCAAGGCAGGGGTGGGATAGTGGTAGTGAGAGGCCAGTAAGATGATCTCGTCTCGGGAGGGAGGAGGCTTCTCAGCAGAGATGGATCCCCGGCCTGGAGGGGAGCTGGCAGCAGACTGCGGGGAGAGGGGAATGAGCGAGTGAGACAGAGGAGAGATGAGGAGACAGACACCTGGGGGAGGCAATGGTGGGAGGAGGGGACAGGCCTTGGGGGCGGTGGAGGAAGACCCAGAGAGAGCGGGACAGAGCCCTGGGGGTGGACACAGACAGACAGAGTCCTCATCAGAGGCGGGCACAGAGACTCAGAGAGGGGACGCGGACAGAGATGGAGACATCTACGGTGCCAGGATTCAAAGTCGTGGACAGAGGTTAAGGAAATAAAGGTCAGAAATAAAGGTCAACAAATACATAACCAGAGCTGCAGAACTAGCGAGAGCCCGGGATCCCCAAGCTCTGCAGAACACAGGAGCCCAGGGCCGGGGGAGAGGGGCCTGGCCGCACCCAGGAGGCTCCGCCAGAAGGCCGTGACGGTGGCGGAGCCGGTTACCGCGCCTGGCTCGGCAGGGTTCTCTCTGTGGGTGTGCACAGCAAAGCTTCGGCCCCTGGGGCCCGGGTGTCCGCTCAGCTCTACATCCACCACGTGCATGTCCGTGAGGCTGGGACAAGTGGGGCGGTCAGTGTGGTTAGCCTGGACTCAGCCCAACACCCTGCTCACTCTGCTCACCTGAGATCAGCCACAAGCACACCAGTCACCCCATCGAAGCCCAGGCTGGGGGCAGCCAGGGCAGCCGCCGCCATGGTGTTGGAATTTCGGGGGGCAAAGGGGCAGAGCCCACGGACAGGGCCTTCGTAGAGCACAGTGCGAGGCCCGGTGCTGTGGGCTGCAGCCAGGGGTCCCTCGAGCCGGAAGCCATCGGGGTGTGTGGCCATGGTGACACGAAGGCTCTGGAAGCAAGAGCCCGGGTTAGGGGGAGTGGGGTCTTTGCAGGCCTCCCCTGGTTCCTGGGGAGCCCAGCAGGCCCTCACCCGGAGGCCCCCAGCTGCATCCAATCTCGTGATGTCCTCGGTACCCCACAGGGCCCCTCGGGCCACAAACACGGCATGGTTCCAGTGCTGTGAGGCCTCCAAGAGCTGCCGCTCTGTGGTCTGGTCACTTAGAGCTGAGGGGGACCCCACCTGGGGTGGATGAAGGAGGAGAGGGTTGAGGTCAGGGAAGGATATCCACTTTAGGGTGGGGTGAGACCAAGACACAAGGGGTAGGGCTCTGTGTGAATGGTTGGGGTGGGGCTTACCAGGAGATTGGCATGGCGCAGGATTTGTGCCCCAGATTCATGGATTATTTTGGGATGGGCCACTTCCACAACCAGATCAGGGTGTCTGGGAGAGGGGAAAGAAGGCACAGGGTCTTGGAGAGGTATTAGGCCTCTTCTTCCCAAAGTTCCCTCTGAGTCTACTGAGGGCTGCCCCTCTTTTCCCTGGCCTGTGAGGAGAAATGAGATGAAGGGGCTCGTCCCGTTTCACATTTGCTTGAACCAAGGCCCAGAGAGGGTCAGGGAATCCCTGAGATCACACAGTGGCTAAGAGGGCCAGGACAGGAGCTTCAGGGAGCTCCACTCACCCATGGCAAGGTCACTGACCTTTCCCCAAGGGCAGCAAGCTTCTGGAGCTGCAGGGAAGGGGGCACGCTCCCTGCCATTCGTCCTGGGTCACGATTCCAGACAAAAACAAGTTCTAGGCCAAGTTCTGGTCCCTGAGCCAACAGGCGGGAGACGAGGGACTGTCCTGAGGAGAGGGAAAGGAGAGGGCTAGAGATCCAGAGAGAGGGGGACAGAGGCTCAGAGAGAGGAGATGAGGACAGAGACTCGGGGAGACAGATGGGGCCGGGGGCAGAGATTCAGAGGGACAGGAGGACACAGGCCCAGAGAGAGAGGAGGTGGGGACAGACTCAGATGTGGGGGGGAGGGGCAGAGACCCAGTGTGGTGGACAGAGGCCCTGAGAGAAGGGAGACAGACGGAGAGGACAGAGACCCGGGGTGGGGTTGTGGTGGGCAGACCCACAGACACAGCTAGGGGCAGATGGAGACAGAGAAAAGTGTCTGTGGAGGGCAGAGAGCCTTGGGGGCTTTAGGAAGGGGATTGGGGAAGGAGGCCCAGGATGGTCAGGGACTCACCGAGGCGGCCGTAGCCCACCACGCCCACCCTCCATGGGCCCTTGTCGGCCATGGCCCTGAGTGTGGTGTCTGTGGCCCGGCTCCCTGGGCTGCTGGCTGCCCCCTGCACGAGGCCTGGGCAGCTGCTGCTCTTTGGACATCTGACCCTTGAGCCTCTGGGCTCAGTGTTTGGGGCGTGGGCCTGCTGGAGTGGAGGCGGGACAATCTTGCCCTGCGCTCTGTCCACTTTCCTGGGTCCGGCACAGTGATCACGGTGACCGGGGGTTCCGCGAGCCCTGCGTGCCTCCCTTTCCCCTATAGCACACCCTCCTTGCTCCCTGCTGATGTGGAAAATTTCCTCTGCAGTCCCCTGCCCCCTATCTGGCTGGCCAGGTTGTCATGGAAACTGCATCTTCCTTTGGGTGGGGAGAAGAGATGGTGACGGGGACTCTGGGCTCTGTCCCCTCGCGCTCACCTCCCCTCCTCGTCCTCAGGTGGCCAAGGTCTGAGGGAGGCTTCAAGCTGGCCGTGCCCCCAGCCCTCCCGGAGGCAGCGGGAGCCCTGGTTGCAGCTTCTCCTCGATGTGCCCTTGCCTCAGCGGGTCCAATCTCCCTAGCCCCACAGCACGGTCCCCTTCCTGCAGCCTCCGCCCCCGTCCACAGCCTCCCTCTGCTCTGATCATCCTTCGGTTCACCTTGACTTGCCACCTTTCACTCTGTCCCCCATCGTGCCACCAGCTGCCTCCCATGTGACATTCTCACTCCCACATCCGTCCCTCCTGTTCCCCAGCTTGCATCAGCCCAGGAGAAGCCTTCGAGGCCTGGAGAGGCCAAGCACCCCCAACATGAGCCCCAGCCACTGTGCCTCGAGGGTGCCTGGCATCGGAAATGGCGCAGGCTGCGGCAGCGCGGGCTCCCTGCCCCCAGCCACCACCTGGTACCCGCTGCAGTGTTTCCATGGCAACCAGGATTGGCGCTGGAAAGAGGCTGGAGAGAAAGAGAGCGTGAACGGGAGCATGGGGTGGGGGGACGGGCACCGGGTGGCGAGAGCCCCAAGTTGACAGGAGGAGAGAGGAGACAGACGCAGACAGAGGGGCCAAAACCCTGACACGGCGCCCAGAGGCTGCTGCTGCTGATAAAGGAGGAACTGACTTCCAGGGCCAGGAGCCCCGGGTGTGGGGGAGATAAGATGCCTGGGTGTAGAGAGATCCAGGAAGGGGGCAGGGGCCAGGCACCTCATGGAAGTGGGGGCCTCCCACCATCCCCACCTTCTGACTCCTTCTGGGGCCTGAGTGTCCCCACAGTGCCCATAGCTGCCGTGTACGGAGCCCAGGCTGGGTCACTGCGAGGGGAGAAGGGGGCTGGGCGCAGGCCTGTGCGTCCTCAGGGCTGTGTCCCCAAAGCCACCTCAGCGTGGGAAGGTGCTAGAAGGCCCTGCATGGCTCTGTCACTCCCTGTGCCTCCCCCAGTGGCGTGAGATGGTAGCCCCGGCCAGCCCCAGCCCTCCAGGGGCTGCAACTCAGGCGCCTTGACCCCTGCAAGAGAAATCATCACCCCCTCCCCCAATCCCCTCAACTGCCCACTGTGCTGGCAACCCCCCCGGCCTGCTCGGGGCTTGCTCCCTGCCCTCTGAGGGCTCTGTTCCTGCCCTTCTGGGTGGCACTGTGGAGCCTCTGATGCCCCAGGCCCACTCGATCCAGCCCTCCAGCCTCCCACTGAACAGGCCAGAAATACAGCTCCTGTGCCCGAGGCCACAGCCCCAGCCTCCCACTTGGCCTCCCTCCCTTTCAGCGCCCAGACTCCGGAGCAGCCCTGAGGAGGTCTGCAGTGGACACACTCTGGATTGGGCCCTGTTGTGGGTTGGATTGTCGCCCAGAAAGGGAAGCACAGAAGTCCTGGCCTCCAGGGCCTCAGAATGGGACCTTATTTGGGAATTGGGTTTTTGCCAAGGATGGAGCTGAGGTTATACTGGAGGTGGAGGCTCCTGGTCCAGTCTGCCCTCTGTCCTTGTAAGAGGGGAGGTTAGGCAGGCTGCAGTGGCTCACACCTATAATCCCAGCACTTTGGGAGGCTGAATCAGGTGGATCACTTCAGGTCAGGAGTTCAGGTCACCTGGCCAACACGGTGAAACCCCTTCTGTACTAAAAGTACAAAAATTAGTTGGGTGTAATGGTAGGCGCATGTAATCCTAGCTACTCAGGGGGCTGAGGGAGGAGATTCACTTGAGCCTGGGAGGCAGAGGCTTTGGTGCGCTGAAATTGTGCCACTGCACTCCAGCCTGGACAACAGAGCGAGACTGTCTCAAAAAAAAAAAAAAAGTCAGGCGCGGTGACTCATGCCTGTAATCGAGCACTTTGAGAGGCCGAGGCGAGTGGATCACCTGAGGTTAGGAGTTTGAAAGCAGCCTGGTCAATGTGGTGAAACCCGTCTCTACTAAAAATACAAAATTTAGCCAGGTGTGGTGGCGCACGCCTGTAATGCCAGCTACTTGGGAGGCTGAGGCAGGAGAATCGCTTGAAGCTGAGAAGCAGAGGTTGCAGTGAGCCAAGATTGTGCCACTGCATTCCAGCCTGGGCGACAAGAATGAAACTCCATCTCAATTAAAAAAAAAAAAAAAAAGGCGGGGGAGTTGGACACAGATGCACACAGAGGGAAGAGATGAGAGGCTACAGGGGCAGGCGCTGGAAGACTGGGGTGATATAATACAGCCACCAGCCAGGACAGCCTGGGGCCACCAGAAGCTGGCGAGGCAGGAAGCCCCCGGAGGTACCCCCAGGTTTCAGAGAGAGCGTGGTCCTCCTGGCACTTTGATCACATCCAGCCTCCGGGACTGTGGGACTATAGATTTCCTTTGTTCTAAGTTCCCACCCGGGTTTGGGTGTGGCGTGGCGGTGCTAGGGGAGGAGTTTAGGAGGAGAGGGAATCAGACCTTCTCTGGGGTCTCCAGCGTGAAGGCTGAAGGGCCTAAGACCACCCGGAGGTGCGCGGGGCCCACCCTCCCGACGGGGCTGCGAGGCTGGCTCTCCAGCCTCTCCTTCCGCCCCCACCCACATTCACTTTGTTTTCTCTCCTCCGTGCTTTCATGACCGAAAAAAATAATTTTTTACTTTTTCCATGTTTTTTTTTTAAAGTAATTACAGAGCAGGTAGTCGTTGACGCAAACCTCCCTTCAGTATCAAAAGTGTCTGTGGGGCAGGTGGGGCTGGGGCGGGTGGAGGCTGCCACCCTCTGCCGACGACAGGGACCGCCGGCCGGGAGCTCTGGCGACGTGTCCATCTCTTCAGTTTTGAGGGCGGAGGAGTGGGAGGGAGGGACGGGCGTCAAACTGCAAAAACTGAACCGTAAAAGGAGGGTGTCTGGGGCCGAGGGGAAAGGACACCCCTGGAAAAAGCTCCTGTGTCCCCTGGAAGGCGGCGGGCCGGGAACGCTTGGTCGGGAGAGCGAGGAGGAAACGCGGAGCGCGAGGAGGAAACGCCACTTCTCCTGGGTCCCACGTCCCCTCCCGTCACCGAGGATTGGCGGGGGTGAGGCAAGGACCCCAGAGACTCCGTTCCTGGAGCCCCACCCTGTCCTCACTGGGGGTCCGAGCCCCAGATGGGGCTGGAAGCCACCTCTCCCCAATTCCCTGCATGGTCCCAGAAGGTGGGCTGGGCTGTGGGAGGGAGGGGTCCCGGTCAGGCTGTGCCCGGGCTGGGACCGGGGTGGGGGGCTCCATGCCCCTTGCCCGCCAGGCCCCACCGCCTCAGATCTGCGTCTCTTGCACGTTCTCCTTGGAGCCGCTCTTGAAGAGCAGAGGTTCGTGGATGGAGTTGAGGCCGGGCGGGCCTTTGCCCCCGCAGCCCCCGCCGCTGGGGTTGCTGCTGTAGTGCGCCTTGAAGGCGGCAGCCACGTAGTGGTGGTGGTTGAGGTGGTCTCGCTCCAGAGCGGGCAGGGCCAGGTGGCTGTCCCCGCCCACGCCACCCCCACCGGCCGCGGCGGCCGCGGCGGCCACGGACACAGCCGAGGCGGCGGGCAGCTCGTCCTCCACGTTGATGATCTCCACGGTGCGCGTGGGCCCGTGGTGCTTGTGGAGCTGGTGCTGCTTGCGCAGCTTGTAGAAGGCCACGAGCATCACCGCGGCCATGAACGTGATGGCCACGAAGCAGCCAATGATGATCTTGGTGGTCTTCATGACGTCGTCCAGGTCCTTGAGGGCGTTCTCCGTCACATCCGTGATGGGCACCGTGAACGCCTTCTCCGTGGGCCGCGAGGAGCGCGGGGCGGGTGCCGTGGTAGACGACGAGGCAGGACCGGCCGCGTCCCCGGGCCGGCCCCCGCCCCAGACACCGTCCGTCGTGGGCCCCGGCGGTTCCTTCTCCGTCCCCCGCGGCTGCAGGGCCTCCTCTCCGGGCTGCGTCTCCAGGGTCTCCACGGTCACCGTGGTGAAGTAGGTGTAGCCGCCACTGCCCCCTCCAACACCACCACCGCCCCCAGGGCCGCCCCCGCCGCCGCCGGTGCCCCCGGCCGCCACGGGGTCCACGGCCGAGACGTTGAGCGTGGCCGAGGCGGTGGTGTTGCCGGCCGAGTTCGTCACCATGCACGTGTACTGGCCCGTGTCCTGCACGGTGACGTTGGTGAAGTTGAGCGTGCCGTCATGCAGGACGGAGATGCGCACGCGGTAGGAGCCGTGGGTCATGAGGGTGCCGTTGGGCGTCAGCCAGTTGACGGAGGTCATGGAGGTGCCCGTGCGGCATTTGAGCTCGGCAGCCATGCCCTCGGTGACGTTGAGGTCAGTGGGCGGCTCCACGATGACGGGCGCGTAGCAGGTGAAATGCGACTGGTCCAGCTCCCCAATGTAGCGCCCCTTGAGGCCGGCGGGCGCATGACAGCGGGCGCAGCACGTCGTGTTGCTGGGCACCGTCTCTTTGAGCCACCAGCTCAGCCAGAGCACGTCGCAGTTGCAATGCCAGGGGTTGTGGTTGAGGTGCACGCGCTCGAGGCGGTGCAGGGGCGTGAAGAGGTCGTGGGGCAGCGACATCAGGTTGTTGTGGGACAGGTTGAGCTCCTCCAGCGACTTGAGGTCGTCGAAGGCGTTGCGCTCGATGGTGGCTACCTGGGCGTGCATGAGCCACAGCTTGCGCAGACTGGTGAGACCCTGGAAGGAGCCCGGGCGGATCAGA